CCAGGAGCCACCGGCCGCCCAGGAGCCCGCGCCCGCCCCCGGGGAGCAGCCCGAGGAGAAGGAGGCCGCCGGGGAGGCGCCCTTGGCCGCGGCTTCCGAGCCTGAGCCGGAGCAGGAGGCGGAGCCCGCTCAGGCCCAGGCCCAGGCCCAGGCCCCGGAGCCCGCGGCCGCGCCCGCCGAGCCGCAGCCCGAGTGCAGTCCCGAGGCCCCAGCAGAGCCCGCTGAGTAGGCACGGGGCGCGTGGCGCCGGACTCTCCCCCGATTGTTTGTTGGAGTGGTGCCAGGTACTGGTTTTGGAGAACTCGTCTACAACCAGGGATTGATTTTAAGGATGTCTTTTTTTTTTTTAATTTCACCATTTTTTGAGCAGCAAATTTTGTTTGTGTTTATTTCCCCTCCCCACAGATCCCATCTCAGATCATTCTGTTACCACCATTCCAACAGGTCGAAGACGGCTTAGATGTCTTCCTCGGCCTTTTTTTCCTTTTTTTTTAAGTTTTTTTGCATCAGTATTAATGTTTTTGCATTCTTTGCATCTTTATTCAAAAAGTGTAAACTTTCTTTATCAATTTATGGACGTGCCCATATATGAAGGAGATGGGTGGGTCACAAAGGGACATCTGATGAAGTGAGAGGGCCACGTGGGAGGCGGCACGTGACTCACTGGATGCCGTGCTGCCCGACACGAGGGTGTAAAGGCGGTCTTTTTTTTTTTTTTTTTAAAGAAAAGTTACTAGGATGTATTTTGTGAGGCAGGTTTACAACACTACAAGTCTTGATTAAGAAGGAAAGATTAAAACACCAATACCCAGATTTTTTAAAAAGATCATAGTCTTAGGAGTTCATTTAAACCATAGGAACTTTTCACTTATCTCATGTTAGCTGTACCAGTCAGTGATTAAGTAGAACTACAAGTTGTATAGGCTTTATTGTTTATTGCTGGTTTATGACCTTAATAAAGTGTAATTATGTATTACCAGCAGGGTGTTTTTAACTGTGACTATTGTATAAAAACAAATCTTGATATCCAGAAGCACATGAAGTTTGCAACTTTCCACCCTGCCCATTTTTGTAAAACTGCAGTCATCTTGGACCTTTTAAACACAAATTTTAAACTCAACCAAGCTGTGATAAGTGGAATGGTTACTGTTTATACTGTGGTATGTTTTTGATTACAGCAGACGATGCTTTCTTTTCCAGTTGTCTTTGAGAATAAAGGAAAAAAATCTTCAGATGCGATGGTTTTGTGTAGCATCTTGTCTATCATGTTTTGTAAATACTGGAGAAGCTTTGACCAATTTGACTTAGAGATGGAATGTAACTTTGCTTACAAAAATTGCTATTAAACTCCTGCTTAAGGTGTTCTAATTTTCTGTGAGCACACTAAAAGCGAAAAATAAATGTGAATAAAATGTACAAATCTGTTGTCTTTCTTTATGTCCTGATAATGACTAAGACTTGTAGGTCTTAGCTTAATTTTTAGGGAGATCTTGCATGTCTCCAAAAGTGAATTTGGTTGTGGTCTCTAATCTGAAGTTTTCAAGCTCTGAAGTCCATAATCAGCAGTGTCAGATTACATGTGTAGATCGTATAACATTCCATGTCAAATCTGTCACCATTTGTCTGCATTTAGTTTTCATTTTAAAACTGAACAGTTATGTTTTATTGTATCTCTATAGCATGTCAGATTAAGTTGTTTAGGACGAAAGTAGTGTGACCCTAAGACTATATAAATGTCTTACGAGAATATTCCATAAACTCATTTTCTTGTCATGCAAGTCCAAAAACTTGCCAGTGAGGGAGAGTTTGGTGAATCCAAGCTGCAGATGGGTGGTGAAAGTGGTCCAGTGTGTTGCAGGAATTGATGCTGTATCACCTGGCACTGTAATGGCCTAGCACTTGGCTGATGTCCGGAGTGTTGCTTAGATGATGTGTTGTGGTTAAGGAAACAGACACCTGTCATAGCAGCAATGGCATGAATGAATGGGTAATGTCAGTTTATGGACCGTTTTTTAAAGTGAAAGCGCGTTAGCATTTTTTACTGTAGATGATAATTCCTTAGACATTAATGACCCTAAACTAGTTCACCTCTTCTGCTCATTACCACTCACTAAGTGGTAAGTGGATTTTTTTTCTTCTCTGGACCCTAACCTGAATTGAATTTTAGGGTACATGTCGGGTACCACTGCCATATTTGGTGCAGACTTGTTCCTGCCCACCTGTTGTGCGGGTTTTGAGAAGTGTGCAGTGCAGGGTTGGTGATGAATCAGTGAAATGCGTTTGTAACACCTGAATGCCAGATCTTCACCTCATTTGGAAAATGACAAAATAGCTTTTTGACGTGCTCTTTTAATTGGGATGGTGGGTCAAAAATAATTATTCATGACCTCTCTTTAAAAAGCATCCTCCCCACTAATAACATTTGGAAGGGTGTGTGTTTTTTGTTTAGGTTTCTTGATCTTGAAGGACATGTGAAAGTTAGAAATGAAATTTGGTAACCAAAGGATTGATCTATGAATCCCACACTAACTTCATAGATACCTGTTTGCTCCGTATGTAGTAGGACTGTTTTTTTAAAAAAGGATATAAAACAAAACTCCCAAAGTGAGTAGTCAAAACTACTGTGTACAAAACTATTATTATATATTACTAGCTTTGTTCTTTTAACAGCTGGAACTTATGAAAATGCATTATTTTGATTTTAATCACTGCCTAAAATACTTTGGGTGGTACTGATGGAGTGGTGGATTTTTTTCCAAGTGATAAATGAAGTTTGACATATCTTTTCATCCAAAGTTTTGTATATCATGTTGTTTTCTAATGGAAAATGTTAATATGGCTTTTTTGTACTACTAATAATAGCTTTGAGATTAAGGAAAAATAAATAATTCTTGTATAGTTCAGTATTGTCTATTAAATCTGTATTAGCAGTATGTATAATGGCATTTGCTATGGTTATAAAATACTTCCTCTGGATTATAATAATCATTTGATCCAATTCCTGTTATAAAATAAAGTTTTACCGGTTGATATAATCAAGCCTGCTAAAATAGGATTTTTTACAAATTTTATTTTTAAATACAAATTTTAGAGAAAAATTTAAAGTTATATTAAAAGTAAGCACTACTGAGCTGGGGATTTAGCTCAGTGGTTCCATCGCCTGCCTTGCAAGCGCAAAGACCTGAGTTTGATCCCCGGTACCAAAGAAACCAAACAAACAAAAAGTAAGCACTACTATTACTCGGCTTAAAAGATTTAGAGGATATGCTTGGTATTAATTATACTTAAGGTTTAAAATTATGTCCACTGAAGGTAAGTTATTCGGTTGCTAGTCAATTAAAAATTTTGATGATGGAACTTGATAATTGAAGAACAGTACAATTCATTTATATTTTTTCCTCATACAAATATAAACAACCTTGTAGTTGAAGGTTTGGGGTAAGATACTTATTGAACTCTAGGTAGGTCCTTGAATGGCAGTTTAGAGAGGAGTACTGTTTAATACAGCCCAGGGCAACTTTGAAAATTTAAAAATTGGTTAAATAGCAGGACTTAGTTTTTATCTTAACTTTAATGTCTCACTGTGCAAATTGAGCATTTTTTTTTTCCCCTCTCCATTTCTCAGTTACATGAAAGTACTTAAAGGGCATATGCCAACAGAATTTTTTTTTTTAACAACAGTTTTTAAATGCTTTTAACATGTAAGTCTTCTAGTTCCTGTTGGGAATTCACATTTGAGAACTACTTTAACTTCAAGGATGCCGCTCTGAAAATGGAAAATAAATATTTTTGAGAGGTTAGCTATGAATTTCAACTAATTTGCTTTAGGATATTCTTTGTTTTTTCAGTGTTTAAAAAGTACTAAATAGGGGTGTAGTTTACTAAAACAGGTAGGATTATCTTTCTCCCATTGTTCCTTTATTCTAGTAATAGGACAATCACAAATGAATTACGAAACAACCTTCAGTGCTAAATATTTGTACGTTTTTAGACATTGTAGGTGAAAATGAGATAGTTTTTTTTTTTGTCTAGAATTCATTCAATCCTAAAGGTATTCTGAAGTTCCTCTTGTCAATGGTTGGGGCTGTAGGTGACCAGAATGAGAATCCCTGGCATCATCTGTCTGGTACACTAAGCAGTGCTCACTTCCCAGAGCCAGACCTTCCCTCCCAAGACACCGGTTTGGCATTTAGAAAAACTATTCTATGTAGTGTTCGTTCCTTGTGAAGAAGCTCTGATCTCTGAAGCATCAACCAAATAAGCTTTTCAAGGGAAACCTCATATTTTGGTTACATAGATGATGTTCCATTCCAGGAGAAAAGTTCTCATAATACTTTATAAATGTTCTGGGAATGTTTGAAACTCTTTTCATTCTCATTTATTGGGACTTGAAGGTAAATATTCAGAAGCAACACTTCATAGAATTTGAAGTAATTACAGGTTCTAACTCTACATTACCAAGATAACAACCATCTAGTATCAAAATATGAGCATTCTCTATAATCATCTTGTTCCTGTCCTTGGTAAAGGTTAAAGAAGTTAAATACACAGCTAAGTGGTATGGTATGCCCTTGGAAGTACAAGAAGGGAAAAGAAGGAGAGCATTTTAACTCTGAAGAATTCAATTTTAAGATTATAATGCTGAAGCAGTTAAATTAATGTTTGCATCGATTCTCATGCTTAATGACGGGCAGTGCTGAGGCAGTCAAGTGAGGGGCAAGATCTCCAGCAGTCCATTTTACACTACTTTGCTTTCTTTGTGACAAGGGTAGTGGTTGGTGATTGACCCTTTTAAATAGGCAGTGAAGCTAGATGTGGTGGCACATAGCTGTAATCCCAGCACTCTGGGAGGCTGAAGCAGGAAGATCACAGTTTAGGTCCATCCCAGGCAACTTAGCCACTTAGACCTTGTTTCAAAATATAAAAATAAGAAGGGCTGGAGATGTAACTTGGTACAAAGGCCCTGTGTTCAATCCCAGTACCATCCCCTCCTTCCAAAAAAGTAGTGGAACTTTGAAGTTTTGCTTTTCTTGCTCCTGATCTGTCTTCCTTCAGCTTAGTGCTCCAGAGTGGAAATCGATTCACCCAAAGTACCACTGTGGGTGGTAGCTACAGAGCTGCTGCTTCAGGAATCATTTGGAAGTCTGCATAAATGCAGTTAATATTCAGTGTGGACTTTACACAAAACAGATCATTTTATAGGAGGCAATCAGAATTGGGGATATTAAGGATGAGATGTAATTACAAAAAGTCTTTATCAAGCTTTAAGTCTCCAAAGACATTTTTTCCTATTGCTTTGCCTTAAAATTGTTTCTAAAACTGGTATGTTTTCATTATTTGATTTCTTAGTAGTTCTCAAAGATATCTTGGGACATACAGGCTATAGAGGCTTGCCCAAACTGAAAAGCTTAAGGTTTTTAATTCTGCAGCTTCTGAGCTATCGTCTTGCCAAATAAGCACAGTATATTGGTATCCTCAGATTCAAGAAACCGAATATGAAATATTCAGAAAAAGTATTATTTGTGCATGGAATATGTAGACATTTTTCTTGTGATTATTCCCAAAACAATGCAGTATAACAGCTATTTACATAGTGTTTACACTATAATAGTTATAGTAAGTTATATAATAAATTAGGAATTTAGAAATGATTTAAAGCATGTATACAGAGGATATGTGCAGATTATATTCAAATATGATTCCATTTTATATGACGGAGTTGAGCAACTTTGGATATTTGTGTGGGGTGTCTATATATCAGTGCTTGTATATCTCTAAATTTTAGCTGAGTGTCATGCCAAGAACTTTTCCACTGTATGCAATTTCAGAGACCTGAGATGCATGACAATTTTTTCTTACCCTCTAATTATGATAGCATAATTCTATTTAAATGTCACTGAAATCTGTCAACACAACATCTTGCTCCCTGTACTAAGGGAATGCCTGGATGTGCTAGCACCAGAACGCAGCGCTCACGAGTCACTGGAGACGACGTTAGAGACTTGGTGAAGCAGAGCGCTAAATGTAACACGCTGGTCAATACTCTATCCAGTTAACTAGCAGAATCATCAAGTGTGTGCAGTAGAAATTGGCAGTGTTTAAAGAGAAATTAGACTCATTACCAGACCCAGAGTTTTCTATGGCAAGACTCACTGGCAGCTTTATGTAAAGAATTTTGGGAAGATTGAATTTTAAGTGAGCATAAGATAACTGTCTTAAGTCACTTTTCTCATCCCTGAGACACACCGCTGAGGAGGGGCGGTATTCTGGCTCGAGTTTCATAAGTTTCAATCCAAGATTGCAGGCTCTGAGGAAGAATAGCGTGGCAGAGGGGCCCAGCGGAGAAGCTGCTCAGGGCCTGGCGACCAGGAAGCGGGAAGGGAGGACTGGGGAGGAGAACACAGTACACCCCCAGG